GCGTCGCCCCCGCTCCTCGCGTCGCCCCTGCGGGGCCCGTGCGACGTCGCCCCTGCCCGCTGCGTCGCCCTGCAGTACCCCGCGCCCGCCTTGCCCGCCGCGTCGCCCTTACCCCGCGCCTGGTCCCTGGAGCAGCCGTCCCTGCAGCGGCTGCCCCTGGCCCCTGGAGCAGCCGCCACTGCAGCAGCCGCCCCTGGCCCCTGGAGCAACTGCCACTGCAGCAGCCGCCCGTGGCCCCTGGAGCAACCGCCACTGCAGCAGCCGCCCCTGGCCCCTGGAGCAGTCGCCCCTGGAGCAGTCGCCCCTGGAGCAGCCGCCACTGCAGCAGCCGCCCGTGGCCCCGCCCTGCCGCTGTAGCGGCCCCGCAGTCGCCTCCGTCGTGCGCCTGCCCTTCCCACCACTGGTGAGCACGTCCCTACCCGTACTGCTACTACTGTTACTGCTGCTGCTACTACTACTGCTGCTCATGCTGCTACTGCTTCTATTGCTGCTCCTGGCGTGGCCAGATGCAGCTCCTGGGATGTCCATACTCCTCAACGTGCGGAAAAGGAAAGGGCCTCGATATGCCTTTTGAAAATCAACCATCAACAGGTACCAATCCTCTCTGCCGCTGGCCCCTGCTTCAATGGCGCCCGCCACGACCGTAACCGCGTCTGCCAGCCTCCGCCCCAGTAGAAAACCAACTTGGTCCTCCGAGATTACCTCATGCAACACCTTCTTAAGCCTTGTCGCCAACACCTTTGCCAACACCTTGTAGACGGTGCTGAGCAGGGATATTGGACTATAGTTCCCTAACTCTTCTTTGCTCCCCTTGTTATGCAGCAGTATGGTAACCGCCGTCGAGACGCTACTGGGGAGCTTCGCAGTGCGGGTGAAACTGTCCACGAACTGCATCAGCGACGGCCCAAGCAGATCCCAGTTGTGCTCGAATAACTCCTTCGGAAGACCGTCTTGCCCCTGCGCCTTCCTTGGAGCCAGTTCTTGGATCGCCATCTGCACTTCTTCTTCTGACTACGGCGCCTTGAGTGCCTCCTTGCTGGCCTCCCCCAAGGTGCGCTGCAGAAGACCCGGTTCCGTGCTTTCGGCGTCAGCCTCGTCCCCACCACCAAACGACTCTTCAAAGAACTCCGTCGCCGCTGTGAGTACTTCCCACGCCCTAGCATAGGTCTGCCCCTTGACCTCATGCATCCCCGTCCTGGATTTCTGCGTCTTAATCTTTCCGGACAGAAAACCGGACGGCGTCTCCCCATCCAGCTCTGAATTTATGCGAGCCCACGCCTGCAGGTTCTCCATGTGACTCTTCTCGTATGCATTTAGAAGCTCTTCTTTTTTTAGCAGGATAGCTCTCGTGCGCAGGCAGTCTGGGTTCCGTGACAATCGACTGCAAAAAAACTCAACCTCTTGTTCCAGGTGTACCCTGGTCGCCTTGATCCTTTTCCTCTCTTTTCGCGAGTAGGCCCGTAAAATGGATGTCAGTCATGGAAGCAGCACTACCAGGTCACCTCCGGCGTCTCTGAGAGCCCGCTTCACACTTTCCCTGACACCCTGCTTCTTTGCTTGTGCCGCCCTCAGCCTCTAGTTTCCAGGGCCTCTCTTTCCAGCTGCTAACGTCTCCAGCGCGACCATCACTGCATTCCAATGATCGGTCATCGCACACATTGAGAGGGGGAAGGGAGGTGCTATGAGAGGGGGAAGGGAGGTGCTGTGAGAGGGGGAATGGAGGTGCTGTGAGAGGGGGAAGGGAGGTGCTGTGAGAGGGGGAAGGAAGCTGCTGTGAGAGAGGGAAGGGAGTTGATGTGAGAGGGGGAAGGGAGGTGCTGTGAGAGGGGGAAGTGAGGTGCTGTAAGAGGGGTAAGGGAGGTGCTGTGAGAGGGGGAAGGGAGGTGATGTGAGAGGGGGAAAGGAGGTGCTGTGAGAAGTGGATGGGAGGTGCTGTAAGTTGGGAAAAGTCGGTGCTATGAGACGATAGGTATTGTCAAACGGGGGTTTTGGGATGGTGATTAGGTCAAGGTAAAGGGAGTGACTAATGTCGCTAGAGATGGCATAACCTAACGCGCATGTCCTCTCATTGTTCCTCCCAGCAGGCCACACACGACAACACCATTCCAATTGTGGAGTTTCCTCTAACAAACATTTGTGCAGTGGGTCATAATGGCACCAAGGCATGTGGTCGTAAGAACAAGAGGGAGACATTGTAAAAGCACTAAAAAACATCATGGGGGGTGTTAAGCAAAGGCATGTGGGGCTGGGGAAACAGGCTGTCCTCCCTGTAACCATTATGTGGTGCGGTTTATCGGCACTGGTGGGGAGAGAGGCATCGTTTAATGACGTGCTGCACATCCTCATAATTTCAGCATCCGATGTCGTTGTGAAGCTTATCAATGCAGCAACAGATAGTTGTAAGTGTCACCTTGATACAGTTGCGCACCAATGGTTTGTACAATGAAACTCGTCAACACCAATCTTACATGCCCAAACCTCGATGCTTATGGTAGGTGGGAATGGAGCACTGGTGAAAGCTCAGACAAAGTTACAATTGGTAGCACAGCGAGCATCCTTCCTCATGAGCCAACCGGGGGAAAATGTTGACGAGGCGCAACTTCTCATGAGGAAGCCGCTATCATTGGGCGGCTTCGTTTATGAGTTCGATACCTACCATCTCAACGAGGACGGTGTGCTTGTGCCGGATAATGGACATGTCCATGGAGGTGACCGGCGGGGACCGGCATATCAAGCACTACACGATGCTGGTATGTCCATGTCAAGGTGTGTTTCACAAACCACATGGGGAAACGCTACACTGGCATACTGTCGCACGAAGAGTTTTGTTCAAGTTGTCTTGCGCATCCCTGCCCCCATTTGCCCCACTCGAATGACATGTGACTTATCTTGATTTTGTGGGGCTCACAACTCGCACTCCACCTTGTTTGTAAAGGTTTTACCTATATCAAATCATGCCCGTGTGCCATATCTCATATGCAACGTTTGGACATGATACAGCTGCTTCAAGAGGAGAGCATGATGTAAGTGGGAACGGAGGATCTCCCGTTATGGATCCGCCATTTGTGGTACGTGAGGTTACTGTGGAGGAGTTTGCCCCGGTGGACGATGTGGGGCATGTGGAAGAAGGGAGAGGGTTGGGTGAGGGGATGGCCCCATTGTTGATGGACACGATGAGGGGGATGGAGCTGGAAGGGCATCCGAGTGGGAGCGTCCGAGCGATAGGGCAACTGCCTTTACTGCTGCAATCTGGCCCCGGCTTGATGGGTATGTGCTATTTTTTAGATAAGCTGGGTGTGTGGCCTTGTACAAGAGCGTCCCTAGCTTGTTTGGGTAAAATGCTTGTAACTTCATAAATTGTACAATCTCACTCAATAAAAAACGGCATCACCGATTCAAGACTTACCATCTTTCCACCGCATTTACATTTCGACCCCACTACAGGTTAACAGCAGAACGTGCTGGAGCACCCCTATCAAAGGCGCTCGCTCGTTCCTGACCTTTGTCGGCTAGCACTGCCGTAGGTCGCCTCAAAGGGCGGTATGTCTGTTAGACCCCATTGTATTGTTACAATTCTTCATGAGTCTGGGAGTGGTATGTTGTCAGATGACCCCGTGTAACGGTTCATTGGTCGTGCGCTCGTGCAAGATGGCGTGGGCGACGTTGGGGGTCTTGTGGGTCTATGATACGCGTGGCAAGGCTATACAGTTTTGGTCTACTGAATGGGGCAAAGTCACTAGGGGTTTAGGCAAACAGTGCCCAAAGACCTCCTTGCTTTTTTCGCGATTCCTGAGGGCATTTGTTATGGCAGGAATATGCTTCCAACAGCTATCGGAGGTTAGTCGGACACTTAGGTTTAGGTCTATTGGGAGGGAGACCTTCTACCGTTACATGCGACGGCCGTACGATTTGTGGGAGGCTATCATCGTTCATGGTGAAGAGAGCATGACCAAAGCCTGACGAGACATGCAGCTGCGCAAACATGGAGATGGATACATTTCCGTGGATGGGCGTTGGTCACAGGCACGGGAGGCGCAGTGGTGCACAGTCACTTTCACGGATCCACGCTCACGGAAAATTTTGTTGACTGTGACAGTATGTAAAAAAGATGAGGGAAAGTCATCGACAGAGTTGGAAGGGGTTGCATTCAAGCTTGGTTGGAGAAATTGAAAAAGTGGGGGTTCAATGTGACCAGGATCATAAATGACGATGGAGCCTCATTCAAGAGGGAATTGGTTGGTACGGACATCAACCATAAGATGTACGTTTGGCACAAATGTCGAGCATTGACGAGGCTGTTTGTGATGGACTTTGTGGAGGCACAAGTGGGTACTATGACAGTGGAGAAGGCCAAGTCATGTTCCGAGTTATGGTTGGTTTCCCTGAAGGAATTGTTGGAGTGGCTGAAGCTAAATGGGGGTGCGGGGAAAGGTGTGAGTACGCGGTCAGCTAAAAAACACTGATCAACCACGTTTGTGCGAAACTGGGAAGGATTCATTTTGACAAATCGGCAAAGGCTGCTCACAATATGGGCATTCTTGGAGATGCGGAAGGTGCTGAGAGTCAGGGCGAAGCCGGTAGTACCACCGGCAAAACGATGGAAGGGCATGGAGCGAGAGGGGGGGATGGAAGGGCAACATGAGCTTAGTGGAGGGTATAGGAGACGAAAACGTCGATTCAACACCTCCTGATGTGAGAGCTGCCGGTGGGGAAACCGACGAGTCTGTTCGAATTCTAGGGATCAAGTGGGTCGACGTTGATACCCCGTTTGACTTTGATCCGCATCCTACACATGCCGGTCGGGACGACATCACTCATGATTTTATCAGGGAGGCGGCTGAGTCTATGTGTCACATAGAGGACATCGATATTATGACTTGTGGTGAGTTTGTATTCCAAAATTAGCAACGCTCCAATTCCACTGAATGGAAGATCATTCGTCCCTAATGTGTTGCACATTTTCTTGAGGACATTCTGACGAAGTGGAGTCGGGTCCAGAGATGGGGCGAGATCAGCAGGCGGAGGAGCGTGAAGTGGCGGAGGAACATGGAGTCGCGGGGAAGCCCGTAGTGGCGGACGAAGGACGCGCGGTGGGGGAGCCTGGAGTGGCGGAGGAGCATGGAGTAGCGGAGGAGCCCGGTGTGGCGGGGGAGCCTAAAGCGGCGGGAGAGGGTGGAGTGGTGCGGGATCCAGGAGTGGCAGGGGAGCGTGGAGTGGTGGGGGAGCCTGTAGTGGCGGGGGAGCATGGTGTGGCAGGGGAGCCTATAGTGGCGGGCGAGGGTGGAGTGGTGGGGGATCCAGGAGTGGCGCGAGAGCCTGGAGTGGTGGGGGAGCCTGGATCGTCGGAGCATGTTGTTGTGAGTCGTACCCCAAGGTGGCAGGAGAGAAAGACTAGAAAGCGAAGACGTGCTCATAAGGGGTGTAGCAGTGACGACACGGAGGGTAAAAAGGCGGATGTGTCTGTTGGTCAACGCTTCTGCATTCATTTCCACCATTGCATGATGCGCGCTGCAACTAAGACAGAAGAAGGTCATCCAATGACTCCTCAAGAAGTGGCAGATGAGATTGGCGGGTGTGGTGATCATTGGGCAGGCATACACAGGAGGTGTCAGCGAGATGGTGTGGTTCCACGTTGTGTTAGGGAACGCTAGGGGGAGGAAAGTGCGCTGTATGAATCGGGTTCGGCGACTCACTTGGCGTTCAAGAAGTGGCTGTCGGTCAACTGTGGGACATGTCCGATGGCAACATACGTTTTAGGGGCATCAAACTGGCTTAACGAGTCATTTCACTCGTTGGTCCCGAAATACGCGCCGAAATGTAAAGCGTTTCTTGTTAGTATGGAGGCTCGGGTGGCTTTGAGTGTGCTTCATTGGAACCACGCGGTGGAGAGGGTTGTCAAGGAGTGGCGAACACGTGTACGCAAGGTAACACGAGTGCGGCGTGTAATGAAAGATAGGGTACTTGGTCCAATGGATTGGCGTTGGGTGGATGAGGTCTTGGAGCGATGGGGAAAGATAAGGGAGTGTGGAGGCAAAGCAGGGAGCACTGGATGCGAAGAGCAAGGGGGAGGGGAAGTGAATGTGGGGGAGGAGGTGGAGGACGAGGTGGAGGGCGAGGTGGAGGACGGGGTGGGGGAGGGCGAAGAGGACGTGGCAGGAGTCAAGGTGGTTACTAGAGAAATAGAAGAGGCTGCAGTGAGGTTGGGAGCACCCCTAACGGACGAGAACATGGCGCCTCATATTATCTCCACTCCCATTCGACTTCCCTCGACGCCAACCCGCGCTGGCAGTTGTGCTCAGGCGCGCACGCCATTTTCACCGCTGACCCCAACATCCGATGCATTCGTCTTCACGAGCCCTGAAAGCATGTGTGATTCCTCTTCGGGGGCATGTACACGACTTCGTACCCGCAGCAACGCGCGCGGCCCAATTGAGTCCGATGGACGCTACCGCTCGGTCAATGGTAGGGCGTGTAATCACCTCGTTTTTGTTTTTTTCATTTGGATGCATATCTACATCATTTTGTTTAATGATATCATTTTTTATCTTTGTGATATGTGACCATAATATCTTTAATCCAGGCGACACGTCCCACCCGCCGCCAGCATGAAGTCATTGTACGAGATGATCGGGCTTCGTGCAAAAGACAACGCAAAATTCCCCCGCGGTATGGACTTATGGTTTGCTATAGATTCTATAATTGACCTATGGGGAGTATTTTATACTTGTTATCCCATTCATAACAGTTTTTCCTTGCAACAGATTTGTGGACTTCACGCATGACCTTGGAACCTAATCTCAATCAGGCATCGCCGGATTTGGCGGTATGGTGTCGATTAGTAAGTCTTCCTAACACCCACGTACAAGCTGCCTAGACGCTTCCTTCACCTTATTTACCCCCCTACCATCACCCCTCATCTCCCATTGCCATCATCTCATCCAACTTGCTATATCATATCTTCTCCCTTGCCATCATCATACCTTCCTCCTTGCCATCATCATGCATATCACCTCACACATCCTCTTTTCTCCCCCAGCCGTCACCATGCATGTAATCAACAACCATTATCTTCGTCCACCTTCCTTCCCCTATCATCACCCCATGCCATGACCTTGCCTCTCCTTGGTGATCTCTTCCCTTTCCCCCCCGCACCTCACCTTCTGCCCACATTTTCCATCACCTCTTATCCCCCTTTGCCACCTCCTCTCATCCCCTTCGTGAGATCACCATTCTTTTACCACTTCCATTACCTCTTATATCCCATTGCCATCACCTCTCATCCCCTTTCCTCTCATCCCTATTAGCCATCATTCATCTCCCATTGCAATCACCTCCTCATTCTTCTCTACCAAGGGCATTCATATAATCAACAATTGTTATCTCATTCCCCTGTCCATCCCATATCATCCCCCTATACCATCACTTTACCTTCCCCCTTCGCCATCTCTTCCTTTTCGCCGTTGACCTCACTTCCCGCCATCCTCTTCTATCAACTCTCTTCCCCTTTAACCACCTCCTCCCATCCCCCGTTGTCATCATCGGTCATCTCCCGTTGCCATCACCAGACATTTCCTCTCTTTTCTCCCAGCCATCACCGTTCATATAATCAACAATCTTCCTCTCAATGCATTTTTCCATATCCCATTTTCTCCCCCAGCCATCACCATACACAAAATTAACACGCATTATCACCTTCTTATCGCCAACCAAGTGCCTTGACGCTTCCTCCATAGACCCCCCCTCCCAAATGCCAACACGTCCCTTTCCCCTCTCCCAACCCCACTCACCCCCCTCTGCCATCACCTTTTCATCATATACTCCACATTTTCATCACGCCCTTGCGGTCACTCCTTTTTTTTCCTTCCATCCCCTATCATCCCCCTATGCCATCACCTTACCTTCCACCTTCGCCATCTCCCCCCTTTCCCCGCCGCCATCACATCCCACGGAGGCAGATTGTTGATCGGCAGAGTGCGGCGCAGTTGACGTGAGGCGGCAGCGGAGTTCTTGGTAGCAAAAAATGGCATGGAAGAGAGTGTGGAAAGAGAAAGGGTGCTCAAGAATTACAGACCCACAATTTATGTTTTACATCTTGCCAAAACATATCCTAAGCTATCCATGTGGTACAAACTTTGACATGGGCCTTTGTGGCGCTACTAGTAACCTTTTTGGGAAGAGTGCGACGCGTTGCGCTATAGATCATAGGAATGAGAATTGCAGAGGCTACGTTGGTCTATGGTGGTATAATGCATCACATCAAGCATGGTTTGTCTGCTTTTGGTGTGGTAGTTTTGTGCCTTAATTTATTAAAACCCTCTTAGAACAGGCATTGATACATTTCAGCAACCTACACCCTAGCAATCAGATTACAATACACCACTGTACCGCATGTAAGGTCTAGCGGGATAAGCATTTGGGAATACACCGAGTATATATTCGCGAAGGTGGTTCATTGTCAAGTAAACGTGATGGCAAACATATACAAACTTAATGATTACAACATGCATATTCACCGAACTCACAACTCTTGTGTCTCGACCATGGTTGCTTCCGCCACGCTCACTTCTGGGCTCCTCATGGTGAAGTCGATCTCGCTGGGGATTGTCGAAGACGGGAACCAATCTACATCTGTCTAGCTACACCCCACATAGCCTTCATCTTTGCTCTGGAGAAAGTGACCCTTTGACAACGTACACCAGCTATGGCAATGTAACGTGTGCAAACGGGTGGTCCCCTAACAATTTGGAGTACGCGATGTAGCAACGAAAGCGGTGAATTTTAGCTACTATAGGCTGCCCATCTGCATCCTCTGTCGTGCTCTTTCCAAGGCAGATACGCAGGACACTCTCAACAGTAACCCTCTCGTCCGCATCACAACTCTATTGCCCTGAATCGAGCTCAGACACGGCCCACTGTTAAAGCACATGGCTTTGCTTCGAAAATTCGATGGCAAACTCTGAGCGAGACCAACATTCCTTAGCATAGAAAAGCTGTGGAGGCATCCCAGTTGGCTCTACCACCCTACGACGGGTCACCCTTTGAACGGGCCGCCAACTGCTAGCAACCACTGAGCGACGAGATACACCATTGCCGTTCCTTGCGGTTCGGGATGAATGGGTGAAGGTTGACCCCGCCTGTCCCTCCATAGCCTCATCGTCGGTGTCCTCTCCTTCAATTCCCATCCTAAACCCCAGCCGGACCCTACGATGCCGTCGATAATCCCAGCGATACATCATGAGGCAACCTGCAACATGAGACATAGAGCGGGGCAGAGGTAGTGATGGTTGGGTGTTAAGGTTGGGAAGAAAGCGGGGAAGGCCTAGCATGAGACAAGGGCCCTCCTTGTGAGGATCTAGGATCGAGCTCAGGAAAGAGAGTTTGAATTGAATGAATCACCTGGATACAACACGAGGCTATATATAGGCTCGACACAAGGCCCAGTAACCAGGTGTTACGCGAAGGTTCTGAAGGTCGCGAAGTGTCCCGAACAGAGCCTTCCCGAATGCGGTAGAAGGCAATTCGGTGACAACCGAAAAGCCAGAATTCGGTGCACGCAACCTAGCTCGATGCTATAACTATAATAAAATATAGGAAAGCACCTAGCCTAGGAAATCAAGCAATTCATGCATGCATATAATTATCATATGCTAGAAATAGCATAATAAAGTGAAGGCAAGCAAGCATAGCTGGCACAAGCCGTCGTACTCTCACACTCCCGCACGCACTCACCTCCCTTTTGAGAGGGACGACACCTCCCTTACCCCTTGGACGGCACCCCCTTTCCCCCTTTCCCCTTGGACTACACCCCCCTCTCCCCTTGGACTACACCTCCCTCTCCCCCTAGACTACACCCCCCTCTCCCCCTGGACTACACCCCCCTTCCCGAATGCGGTAGAAGGCAATTCGGTGACAACCGAAAAGCCAGAATTCGGTGCACGCAACCTAGCTCGATGCTATAACTATAATAAAATATAGGAAAGCACCTAGCCTAGGAAATCAAGCAATTCATGCATGCATATAATTATCATATGCTAGAAATAGCATAATAAAGTGAAGGCAAGCAAGCATAGCTGGCACAAGCCGTCGTACTCTCACACTCCCGCACGCACTCACCTCCCTTTTGAGAGGGACGACACCTCCCTTACCCCTTGGACGGCACCCCCTTTCCCCCTTTCCCCTTGGACTACACCCCCCTCTCCCCTTGGACTACACCTCCCTCTCCCCCTAGACTACACCCCCCTCTCCCCCTGGACTACACCCCCCTCTCCCCCTGGACTACACCTCCCTCTCCCCCTGGACTACACCCCCCTCTCCCCCTGGACTACACCCCCCTCTCCCCCTGGACTACACCCCCCTCTCCCCCTGGACTACACCCCCCTCTCCCCCTGGACTACACCCCCATCTCTCCCTGGACTACACCCCCCTCTCCCCCTGGACTACACCCTCCTCTCCCCCTGGACCACAACCCCCTCTCCAACTGGACCACACCCCCCTCTCCCCCTGGACCACACCCCCCTTTCCCCTTGGACCACACCCCCCTCTCCCCTTGGACGACACCCCCCTCTCCCCTTGGACTACACCTCCTTGCAGCGCGCATCATGTACACACCTCCCTTCCCCCTCGGACTATACCTCCTTTCCCCCTCCCATCACACCCCTTTCCCCTCTGGCCGCCTCTTCCCCTCCCACATGCACTCACCGGCAACATCATTCCCCCCTTCCTACCCTCTTCCTGCCCTCCTTCCTCCCATTGTGCACTTACTACTCCCATTCCGCCCATCCCTAACACTATTCCGCTAAACCCTAACAATATTCCACCCATCCTTATCACTCAACAACCCATGCCCAACATTATTCCACCCATCCCCAACATTATACAACCCATCCCTAACATTATTACGCCCATCTCTAACATTATTGTGCCCATCAATACTTTGATTCAGCCCAACATAATGTTCTTCCTTGATAACTCCTCGCAAGGTGCCCCACCTACTCTCATTCCGACCGTCCTCTACTCTCATTCCGACCGTCCTCTACTCGCATTGCGACCGTCCTCTACTCTCATTCCGACCATCCGTATCTTGCTCATCCCTACTCTCATTCCTCCATTCATTATCTAGTTTCGCAAATCCCTACTCTCACTCCGCCCTTCATACTCTAATTTCGCCGTTCATACACTTATTCCGCCGTCCCTCCTCTTATAGAGCCGTTCATACTCTATTTTCGCCGTTCCTACAATCATTCCGCCGTTCCAACTCTCATTCCACCGTAAACCCTATTCTCATTCCGCAGCTCCTACTCTCATTCCGTCGGTCCTTCTCTTGTTCCTCCGTTCCTACTCTCATGGCACCGTCCCCAATACGCATTCCGCCGTTCCTACTCTCATTCCGCTGTTCCTACTTTCATTCCGCCGTTCCTAAGCTCGTTCCGCACTCCCTATTGTCATTCCGCCCTTCTTCCTCCCACTCCTCCGTTCTTCCTCCCAAACCTCCCTTCTTGCTCCCATTCTGCCCTACTTCACATTATTCCGCCCCTTTTCCACTCGATCCGCCCTTCTTCCTTCCAATCCGCCTCTCCTCATCTCGTTCTGCCCTTCGTCCTCTCATTCCGCCCTGTTTATTTTCGTTCTGAACCTCACCCACTCATTTTGCCATTCCGTATCGCATTCCACTCTTTCTAACCTCATTCCGCCCATCCTTACGCTTACATCGCCTATTTCTAACCTAATTATGTCCGTCCCTAATAATTTCGGGGTATGAGTGCTTACCTTGTTTCTTTTCCGACGGTCCTACTGCTCAGTGACAGGAGTGTGGAAACGGGCAAGGTAGCACTCATTTTGTGACACTTTAGTTATGTCTACGTGCGACGTGGTGTCGTCATCAGTGGGGGGTCGTTCAGTTCTCAATCAGGGCCAAACCTGTCCCCCAAGGCTTGACTTCCACCCAAACTTGCCCACCCTGGTTTGGTTTGGCCTCGAGTGTTTTGGAGTTCGTTGTGTTTTTTTCACCAGCTCGTCACATTTTTTGCCATTCGTTACCCAATCACGGTAGGTGAAACCCAACCAAGTGTTAAACGCTCGGAAATCTGAGACGCGAGCTTTAATCGTTATCGCCTTGTGGCGAGCGTTCACTAGCTTGCACAACAGGGGTTGCGAGAGCAGGGCACGGTCGATCCTCGTGCTCACTTTCTTCCCCTTCGCGTGAAACGTATACTCCCTCTTGCCTGGGTGCATGAAACGGAAGGCTTCCATGAGAGGAGTACACGCCCAGTAGCTCATCAGATGCCGATTTTCTGCCGCCGAACCCACTCCTGTGGACTTGTCCAGCTCCGGGTTTTCGACCACATTGAAATCACCCATCATCAGTTTGGCAGGTCCAGGAGGGTGTCGAGGAACGGGCCGAGACAGTCCCTGTAGAAAGGGGCTCTGTTCTCCGACTGCGCTGGCAGGTACACTGCTACTAGAAGCACCACCAAGTCCCCCCATTTTACCACCACTGCTACTAACCTTCCTGAAACGTGCTTATTTTGTTGGAGGTTGAGTGTGTTCCAAGGAAACGGTGGTGAGGGAGTACTTTGCCCCCAACCCACAGAACGGTGTTGGCTTAGTTCTCACTTTCGAGTGAGTTGCAGGTTGGCGTGGGGTTGAAGAATTAATTTCGGAAGACCCATCGATTCGGTGCCACATGGCAGCACCAAGAACATTCGAGACTCAAGGAGAATTCGGTTCGGTGAAATTCGAGTGTCTAATTTCACCCCTTCAAATGTTACTCGAACATTCGCGAGTGTACCGCGGTTCGAGGTTACTTGTGCAGCTCGATGTTGATTGCATGCTATAAATTGTGTTTGCTTTGTATGCATGTCATATACTGATAATCAGAGTTTCCTATACACGGTTCAACTCGACACAAATTCCAGAGAGCATCCTATCCTTCAACCTTGAGCATAGCTTTCACGTTAGAGACCACAACTCGCTCGATACTTAGGCGATCGACGCAATTGACGGCTCGTTGGAAAGATAAGACAGAGCTCTAGTGATTAGTACAAATCCCAGTTCCTGCAAATTAGAGGAGAGTCCTTTACAACATATTGTGTCCGTGAATGACATACCGGGGACAAAGCTCAACACTGCCACCCCCCCCCCCCCCTACAGTGTCTGTCGGCCCCAGAGCAGCTACCGCCGTTGGTCTTAACTACGTCCTGAAGTTGTGATCCGCTTCAATCCTCGTGTTGGTAAGAATTGCGATATCTGCTTTCTTTCTTAGCCAGTTCTTGCACTTAATCTGCTTCCCTACGCTGCCAAGCCCGCTGATGTTGAGCTCGCAGAAAAGGATTGAGTTCTTCTTATCCATTAAATAACAGGTGGGAAGCCCCATCGCATCCACGGGCGGAAGACCAGTACATGACTCCTGACACTTGTGCGTCGCTGACAACGGCCGCACCACATCGCACAACATCACATCTACCACTACATCGACTACTGCAGCGTCTGATACAGATCTGCCTTTTTCTATCTCTTGAGTAACAGCAGATTGAGTAACAGCAGATTGAGTAACAGCAGATATGCACCACCGAGCCAATACGCCCTCCCAGCAGGCTATTTGGTGAACTCCTTACGGAACGTGGACAGGCTGATGGCTCTCTTGCTGGCATGGGTAGCAGCACCCGGCTTCGCCAGATTGGTCTTGTGCCGGAGCGACGCGGCGTGAGCAGGCGCCTGTTCGAAACTGACGCCCTGCGCCTTGTCGCAAGCTGCGAACACACACACCCTGTCCTCCCACGACCCCCTTGTGGAGGTGAGAACTATGGCCGGGTCCATGAGAATGTCCTTCGTAAGCGCTGTAACTTTCAGCGATGCAGCTGTGGGGAGGGATTTGAGCCCGGATGTCAGCAAAAGCCAGGAAAAATAGTAGGAGCGGTAAAGGCAGGAAAGATAACACACTGATACCGTTTATCTCGTGGACCTTCTTGTTAGATAGGGTCCATTTGCCGATGCTGGGTTGACTCTCCATAACTTAAGCATTATGATATTGTGTCATGTGCTGTCCCTTGCAGTAGTCGCAGGTGAGCGCGGGATAATGCACCATCAGCTTCCTCCCGGTGTTCGACAAGTCCGTAACCGCGTGACGCCATGAATCGTCATCGTTTTGGTGCTCGATCACCAAGCCCCGCACCTTATCAGTGTCCATCCCAGTAGCAGGATCCTGCATTCCGTTAAAACCCACACCCTTGTTAAAAGCGGCTTTCCCTTTCTTGAGCAGAGTAACCGCCGTCAACATTTTGCGAATCAGCTCAGGGGAGACACTAGCTGGAACTGACTTGAGCAACACCTCCACTACGTCTGGGTTCAGCTGATGCTCACGCCTGTAAATCCTGTTCACCAGATGCTACCAGTCAAGCATCAGCGTAACACCTTTTCCCAGCTCGTGCTCGATTGCTCGCATCCAGACGAAAGCGGCATCACTCGCGTGCTGAAAGGTAACATGGAGTCTGTCGAACATTTTCTTCGACAGCCACGCCGGCAGCAGCTCCTGGTACTTCGTGGTCGTCTGAGCATCAGCCGTTGATGAAGCCTTCCAGAAGTCCAGGTGAGCAACAACCGTAGCTTTTAGCTTCAGAACCTCGCTCTCCCACTTGATAGGGATAAGAAGCGTGATCGGGAAGCTGAATTGAGTGGTAAGTAGATCAACTGCTGCTGTATCAAAGTCGTCATCGTCATCAGTGTCCCAGCATCCATCGTCATCCGCGTTTTTGCTGCATCCCGCCTTCTCGCTCGCAGATGACTCAGCCATGTGGTCAGGCAGAAGAGCCGTCGACATGCCCGGCTGTGGATTATGAGTCGCATTCCCTTCCACTTCGTTGTCCTTAAGCCCGTTGACCTTCAGAGCAGACAGCCGTTCCTGCAAGGAGATCTTCGCCGCACCAACAAGCAAGTCGGCAGACTTCTTGGGACGAGCTTGAGGCAAAGCTTGCGCCGAAACCAGCGGGCTCTTCTCAGGAGAATTTTCCGTGCTTGTTAGAGGAGTGGTGTCGTCAGTGTTGTTAACATTTCCTGTCAACTTCCCCCCTCCCCGTCCGTTGCGTCGTCCGACCGCCATTGTGCAATGATGAGAGTAGAGGTATAGGCTGGACACGAAGCCTGATAAAAAGCCTCTCCTGAGCACCAAAATGAATTGACGCCTTGCGTCGCCGTTGCCTTTGTTTTGCGTATAACCTCGTGCTTTGTACGGATCGTATGCCTTTAAGGGACCATTGTGAAAAATAAAAGACAATCCCTGTGCAGAGGATAAGGAAACTAGCTTGTCTGGCGGAACAAGATCCAAGAACCAATCCGCATTTTGCAACCAGAACCTAGAACGCCTGGATGAAACCAATAAACCTGATTCCGTGGCTTGAACCTTGGTAGTTCCTGCGACCACGTAAGATTCACCGATGTTCTCTGTATGAACACAAAAAAGGTATCCTCTTGAAGCGCTGGTCGAACTGAACGTTAAGATTGAGAAAGCCTGCTTTCTTATTCTTATCAATTGGCATCGTTCTCATTACAAATGGGTTATTACAACATTTGCATCAACGTTGAACACAAGCTAGTGCAATCGAATAATACTAGCTAAGATGTACCCTATCCAAGTGGCATTAGCAAGGCGGTTTACTCTGGGGTGGGTGGGGAATGTTGAGTGAGCCGTTTGAAAATCGAGAAACGTGGGTGGAGGGACATGAACTCCAACCCACGGTTTTTGTAGTTGGAGAAGGGCGTTTAGCGCACTTCGACGATGCCAATTGTGCAGTACAAGCAGCTTCGCTTTCACAATACACAATTTAAAAAAACAAAATGTGTGTTTTAAAATTATAATCTTTTAAGAAAAGTGCCATCAGGCTGGAAATTGGTCGACATTGGGCGTGCCGAAGTTAAAGCTGAAGCCATGGTGGAGAGCTCGAGCAGTGATATCCCTTTCACGACACTGTAGCGAGGCTTGAGCTCGAGCAGTGATCAATCTAATGTAGTCATGATGAATTGGGTAGTAATTCTGCTTTCTAGAGTCACGTAGGGAAGAGTTGTCTGGATTCTGTCTAAGACGAGTAGTAAGAAACTCTGTATCGAGTTACAATTGGTCTCCAGTTCCCGGAGTCTCGACTCGACCCCCAGTGCCGTTTGACTTGAGTGCTGCGCTGCTACCACCAGTGGTCCAAGAGCTCGTTTCTCAGCAATTTCACATGGCGGCTTCCACTTCTGGTGCTCTCACGCTTCGCTCTGCGAGCGGCAGCGGGCTTGGAAGTGTCGCGACATTCGGGAGCAGGTGGAAGAATTCGTTTTGGGGGAATGTCGCGACGTTTGGGAGCGAGAACGTACGAAAACCAGACGACTCGATGCGGAGGGTTCTTCAGTGAGAGTTAGAGCTAGAGCCACGAGGAACCGAGAGAACGCGAGAAAGGGAGGCAAGTCGCAGCAGCAGCAAGGGGAGAAGGGAAATAAGCAGCAGCGCCAGCAGGAGAAGAAGCAGCCGGCGAATCAGGCGCTGACTCATCAACAAAAAATCGCGAATCTTATCCAATTCTCCCAAGACGAGACCCTCCTGTTCGATCCTCGCTCAGGCGACCCTACATGCACTACCAGCAGCAGCAGCAGCAGCAGCAGCACCCACAGCAATAATATTTCCAGTAACAGCAGCACAAATGGATTCAGCACCAGAAGTGACAATAACGAAGCCTCGCGCGAGCCAATCAGGTGCATCTACGCCTTCCCGAACGAATACACGGTCGGGATCTGCTCGCTCGGATATCAACTGGTGTGGGCGTACCTCTGCTCCCGCGCATCCATCCACGTCACCCGCATGTTCACCGACGCGCACGATCCCTTCCCTCGAAACCCTAATCTGATCGGATTCTCCTTCTCCTGGGAACTGGATTACGTGAACGTGCTGAACATTCTAGAAGATTTGGGGATTCCGGTGAGATCTGAGGAGAGGCTTGAGAGTGGGTCCACGTGTTTCGTGTTCGGAGGGGGCGCGGTTCTCTCGGCCAATCCGGAGCCGTTTGCGGATTTCTTTGATGTGATTTTGATGGGCGACGGCGAGGAGCTTCTGGGAAGCTTCGTGGACGCGTTCGAGGCGTGTGTGTCGGGAGGAGGGGGGGTGGAGGGAGCCAGTGGTAGCAGCAGAAGCAGCAGGCGGTTGGAGATTCTCTCGGCTCTGGCTCAGGTTAGTGGGCGTGTGTGTGGGGAGGAGGGGTGGAGGGAGCCAGTGGTGATGGTGGTAGCAGAAGCAGAAGGCGGTTGGAAATGCTCTCGGTTCTGGCTCAGGTTAGTGGGAGGGTGGCAGTGGTAATGGTGAGAGCTCCATTAGGAAATTTGGAATCACAGCTTATTAGGAAATGCAGCAATTACAGCACATTCGGAATCGCCCCACCACCTCTTTGTCATCCTTGCCCATTCCCTTCTCAAATCCTGCTCTTGTGTATTTCCCAAACCTTCAAACCCCCCAAACCCTCAACCCCTGCAACCCCTGCATGAGCCACTGCTCTCCACTGCTCTTCGCCGCTCTCCACTGCTCTCCACCCACCGCCCCACTCTACCCTCTCTCTCTCACTCGTCCTGCTCCACAACCAACCAATCAGGTGCCAGGGGTGTACGTGCCTCTGCTGTACCGGGTGGAATACCACAGATCCACGGGACCCATTGCTGACGTGTCACCCCTGCAACTGCCAGCTGGCAGCACAAATGTCAGCAGCAGCATCAGTACAGGAATGATGCTCCCAGCAGCTCCTGCAGTGGTGGAGAGGCAGACGTACAGAGGCAAGCAGCTGGCAACGTCCACTGTGGTGTCTCCGCGCATGGCGTGGGAGGGGATATACATGGTGGAGGTGCGGCGTGATGCTTGTTTTGTTTTGTGCTGTGTGCACCAAGGTGTGTGACATGACTCAAGGAAGGCAAGCAGCTGGCGACGTCCACTGTGGTGTCGCTCGCCTCGCATGGCGTGGGAGGGGATATACATGGTGGAGGTGCGGCGTGATGCTTGTTTTGTTTTGTGCTGTGTGCACCAAGGTGTGTGACATGACTCAAGGAAGGCAAGCAGCTGGCGACGTCCACTGTGGTGTCGCTCGCCTCGCATGGCGTGGGAGGGGATATACATGGTGGAGGTGCGGTGCGGCTGCTGTCTGTTGTGCTTTGGGTGCGAAACAGTGACCTGTGAGTTGACTCAGACGTACCGCAGCAAGCAGCTGGCCACGCTCAACCAAATCCTTTGCCGCTCTCTCCCCTTCTACCCTCCTCAGGTGGTGCGCAGTTGTCCCGAGGTCTGTCGCTTCTGCCTCACCAGCTACTCCTCTCTGCCCTTCCTTCATCCCATCCTCCTCCCGTCCCATCACTCACTCTCTCTCACACCCTCTCACTCTCCCCCTCAGGTGGTGCGCAGCTGTCCCGAGGTCTGTCGCTTCTGCCTCGCCAGCTACTCCTCTCTGCCCTTCCGCCCTGCCGCTCTTGAGGACCACCTCATCCCCGCTATAGAGAGAGGCCTGCAGGTAGGTAGCTACACCACACACCCGCTATAGAGAGACGCTTACATTTTAGTGGAAATGGGAGACATGGGGAGAGGGCATGGCACAAACAGACAGAAGGGAAGTAAAGGCTTGCTGGTCATGTGTTCTGCCCTGCGGTACTTTCAGACCACCTCAGAGCCACTATAGAGAGAGGCCTGCAGGTAACTACACCTATACTCGCTAGAGAGTGTGGCTCGCAGGTAACCTTTTATCAGCCATAGAGAGAGGCTTGCAGGTCAGTGCACCCCATACCCGCCACGCTACAGAGAGAGGCCGGCAGAGAATTACGTGCCATACCTGCTATAAAGCGAGGCTTGCAGGCCGAAGGTATCTGCACCTTATACACGTTATAGAGAGAGGCCTGTTGGTACTACACCTCATACCCGCTATGAAGCGAGCCCTGCATGAAAGTACACCTCATACTAACCCATGCTAGATTCTCCTCCATGGCGTTGAGGTGCCGTGTCAAGTTTCCCACCCTATCCCCTACACCACACACACATGCACGCCTCTTTCGCAGGTGACCAACCGCATAGGCCTGCTGGGCGCATCAGTCACACAGCACCCACACTTCGACAGCCTGCTCTCCTACCTGCTGCAGCCGCACATGAAGGACATTCGCCTCAGGTGGATCTTACTCCCTGCCTGCCCTTCTCTCCCCTTCTGTACCTGCTGTGCTGTGCAATGCAATTAGGTGCGCCCTGAGTTTCTGTACTTACTTTGAGCACCCACAGTTTGACAGCTTGCTCTCATACCTGCTGCAGCCGCGCAAGAAGGACATTCGACTCAGGCCTGTCTTGACTTACATTGCATATTCTTTTCCCATTTCCCTCGTCCCTCGTATTCTCCACACACCACGTCAGCATCGCATCTGTGAAATCAACACAATGACTCCCAAGCTGGCAGCAGCATTGCTTTGCCTGCCTTACATTGCATACAATCTGCTCAATTCCCTTCCCCCTGTCTTCCCCACACACCAGCATTGCATCGGTGTGCATCAACACAATGACCGCCAAGCTGGCAGCGGCGTTGCCTTGCCTTTCGTTTCATGCATACCTCTCATTTTCCTCGTCCCTTGCTTGCCTCTCCCCCATGCCAGCATTGCATCAGTGCGCACCAACACAGTGACCGCCAAGCTGGCAGCGGCGTTGGCGCAATCTGGGACTCGGTCGCTGACCATTGCGGTTGAGAGCGGTTCCGAGCGCATGCGGCGCGCGTGGTGAACAAGAAGGTATGCAGTGCAGTGAACAGGATTGTAGTGCGGTGAGCAGGAATGTAGTGCGGTGAGCAAGAAGGTAGTTAGTGTGGGAGGAAGGGCTATATCTGAGGTGCCTCAAAATTCTCTTTCTCCCCCTAATGTGTGTGTGCCTCGCCTCGCCTCGTCTTCTCACCTCAGCTGGACTCAGCAGACACCATTGCAGCAGCAGTCAACGAACAAGAGGGGGGTATTTGGTTGGCACCAAGTGATAATATTTCTCTTCTCTCCTCCAACCACCCTCTCCATGTGTGGGGACCTCGCCTCCCCTCGTCTTCTCACCTCAGCTGGACTCAGCAGACATCGTTGCAGCAGCAGTGAACGCACAGGAGGGCGGCCTGTCGGGGTTGAAGCTCTATGGCATGGTTGGGCTCCCCAGCGAGGTGAGGTCCGCCTTCTTCTCTTGTTCCATTCACGTCCATCACCCTCTTTTTTTTTTGCTGTATTTACGGTGTAATGAAGCCAGCACTGTCTCACACTTGGCCGCGCTGACTCGCTCAATTCAACTGTGTCGCCCAGTGAAATCAGTGCTTCTGCCTGCCACATGCGTAGAAAAGTCCATTCACGATTGATGCATGATGTGTGTGCTACTGTGCTCAGTGCACACCGTCCCTCTTCTCGTGCATGCCATGCCTGCGTGGCAGACGGATGCTGACGTGGCAGAGACAGTGGGCATGATGAGGGAGCTGAGGAGAGCTGCTCCCCGGCTCAAGCTCACCCTCGGATGCTCCACCTTCGTGCCCAAGGTAACATGATGCAAATGCCGTCGCTTGCCCAATTTCTCCCATTCATACCATTCTTCCACCATCGTCATCCTTTTTTTCTCTAATAATTACCATGCCCTTACCAGGATTGCCTTCTTCCTTCCATAATGACAATTCTTTCCAAAATTGCTTTCTTGGTTTTATTTCCTTTTGTCCCCCGCCAAGGTATGTCGGCATCACTGCATTGTTTTTCCCTGCCGTAATGTTGTATTTTAAAACCCGAGTCCCAAATTGCGAGGCGCGTGGGTCAAGCTTTTAAAACTTGACGGTGAGGAGCTTGTAAACTTGAAAGAAGTTCACTTGCAATTTGGGACTTTCGAGCTCCTACCACTGGGAAGACACGTTTTTGGCTGTGTGTTGCGAAGATAACGAATTTGACGAAATAGGACCTCTCGCCACACCCCAAAAAGAAAACTTCCTCCCCGTCAACCATTTAAAACTTGTGCAATTTGGGCCAGCGGCTTTAAGGCAGTTTCAAAACATGCAGTCTTCTACACACCCTGTTGCCCCTTCGGTAATCATGGTAAATCACATGGGCACAAGGGTAGGTATACAAATGGCTGTGAGCTTGCAGATGTATCATGCTCTCTCCACCCCCTCCACTGCCTGTACCTGTAGTTCCCACTCGTGCAGCAGCAGCAGAGATGGCTGGGACTTCTGGAGAAGGAATGAACGAATGGCATCAGAAGGCTTCAATTCAACTCACCCCATAACTCCCCCTTTTTCAACCACTTTTGCCAGGCGCACACGCCGTTCCAGTGGCAGCCGGTGCAGCAAGCAGCAGAGGCGCGGCTGAGAGTGCTCGAGAAGGAGATGCAGAAGGAGGGCGTGGAGTTCCGCCCTGAGAGCTACAAGTGGAGCGTGTGGCAGGTGGGTGGGGAGAATTGAGACTGTGAGGCAGAAGGTGAGTGGTTTGAGTGTGTGGTGGCAGGTGGGTGCAAGAAGGAATTCTACCTTGGTGCCTAGATCGGGCATATGCGGGTAGTGGGTGTGGAGTTCTGTCCCGAGGGCTATAAGGGAAGTGTGTGGCTGGCAGGTGAGGGTGGGAGATGGGGGAGTGAGGGGCAGGCGGGGAGTGTGAGGCAGTGATTGGGTTTCAACCCTGAGTTACTCCGTTTCCCCTCCTCTGTCACCCTCCCTCCCTACCTCCCTCCCTTCCTAATCCCTAATTTTCTTGTCCAATCATTCTCAGGCTGTGCTCTCAAGAGGCGACCGCCGTCTGTCGAGGCTGCTGCAGAGGGCGCGCGAGTTCGGCGGGTCGCAGGGCAGCTTTGGGCGCGCCTTCAAGGAGATGAAGGGGCAGGTGCCGCCGCCTGAATATTATGCTTTCAGACTGGTGGGTGTGCGGGCACACATGAGGGGGCAGGGGTGTGCTTCGTGAGGGGGTTTGGGTTGGGGGGGTTGTGGGTTTTTAGAGTATTGGCGGGTTTGGGGGTTTGGTGGTTCGGGGGGTGACAGGGCTCTACGGCCCTCCGTGTATAGACCATACCTGGTGCGCAACTGCAGTTTGGCGGGTCGCAGGGCAGCTTTGGGCGCGCGTTCAAGGAGATGAGGGGGCAGGTGCCGCCGCCTGAATACTACGCCTTCAGACTGGTGGTTGTGCTTTCTTAGGGGTTAAAACTCGAGTGCTTCGCACGCACGCACGCACACACAGAGAGAACAGACACTGTGAATGTCCTGATGCCATGCATGTCCCCATGTGTGTGAGCAGGTGGGGGAGAGTGAGGTGCTCCCGTGGGCTCACCTCTCGGGCGCTCTGCCAGTGGACGTGCTCAAGCAGCATGCAGCCGACGCCGCTACACACTTTTGAGGCGCTCTAAAGCATGCAGCTATGCACTTTGGCCAGGAGTGATGTGATGTGCCGTGTGCACTGTGGCAGCACTTTTCTGGCTCTCACCTCTCAGGCGCTCTGCCAGTGAAAGTTCTCAAGCACCATGCAGCCGACGCAGCTACGCACTTTGGTCAGGAGTGATGCGCCGTGCCGTGCCATGCTCTGATGTGATATGCGCGCAAGTACACTCTCTTCCAGGACGTCTTAGGGCATCTACCTCTCCTCTCAGGCACCTCTGCTCTCAGGCACCTCTCCTCCCAGGCACCTCTCCTCTCAGGCACCTCTCCTCTCAGGCACCTCTCCTCTCAGGCACCTCTCCTCCCAGGCACCTCTCCTCCCAGGCACCTCTCCTCCCAGGCACCTCTCCTCTCAGGCACCTCTCCTCCCAGGCACCTCTCCTCCCAGGCACCTCTCCTCTCAGGCACCTCTCCTCCCAGGCAACTCTCCTCTCAGGCACCTCTCCTCTCAGGCACTCTGCCAGTGGACGTGCTCAGGCAGGCCTCTCAACACTCTTATTTCTCCGACTCGCTCGCTGCCAGTGGGACGAGCTGTGGTAGCATGCAGGCAACGCGGCTGCACACTCAAGGCCACAGTACCCCTCACCCCACCTGACCTGCAGCAGCAGAGGTGTTGAGTTGAGTCGTTGTGGAAGGAGGTGCTTCTGGCAACCTGCTGCTCATGCAGCTCCGGCCTTTGACCGAACCTGCCGCTTTTGTGTGGCAGGCATTTGTTCTATGCCAGTGTGGATGGTAATGAATTTAATTACATCATTGATCATTCATTGCACAAAGCCCCAAAAGGCACTCTCAGTCAGCAGTAGTACTGTAGCTTTGATTCAGAGGGGCACGGTGCGCTGCAGTGATGTTCTTGGTTTTGGAGTAGCAGGGCAGAAAGCAAAGATAGACACTCCTTTGCCCTCCGTGCATTGTACTATCAACCACCACATCAAAGCTGCTCCCAGGACCAGTTGCTGCTACAGCACCACCAGCAGGCCAAAGCTGCTCCCCTAGCTCAGTGATTGAGTTGGGTGGGTGCTGACCGACTCAAAGATAGGTAGGTAGGTAAGCACGTAGGTACACTTGATCACTATCAACCACTCGGTCAAAGAGTACATTTTAACAGCAGTGCCAGCAGCTCCTCTCCTCTTTCTGTGGTCAACATGGGTGAGTACTTGGTGGTCCGTAGGTAGGAGGCAGATAGGGTAAGTAGTGTGTAGTGTAGGTGCTCTTTACCATCATTACTCAGTCATGGAGTACATTTTAACGAGCGGTATTCTTCTGAACAGCAGTGCCAGCAGCGGCAGAAACCCCTTCGCCATTTCACCCCACCACAGCGCCGGTTTACTCACCCGCCCTGCCGCTGCCAAAGCTAATCCGAACCAGAAACTGACCAATACCAGCGCTCCACATGCCAAGGCTAACGACTGCTGCTGGTCCGGCAACCACCCCCGCTCCCGACAGGTTCGGAGCAAACCTACAGGTCCGGTGATGAGAATTGCGGAAACCAGACCAGGGTTGTAACTGAGCGAAGTGGCGGCGAAAAACACGTGCGAAACGGCGTCGATAAGCGGGATCGCAACGGCGATAGCCGCGCCGAGCGGCTGTCGCGGCCCCGTCGAAATCGCCATAGTAGTCAACAGCCACGTGTGCACGAGATTCACGAGGAAGAAGAACGGAGCGTCGGCGGGACACAGCGCGATCTCCGCGCGGTACAATCCCAGCCGAGCGCAGACGTCAGACCTTACTCGTGCGTCCAGTCCTACTGTCACACGTCTTCTAGCTACTGCTGTCACCGACCCTTCCTTTGAGTCTACTGCTGCGTCTGCCCTAGTTGCTGAGCTTGTTGACTTTGCTGCCGCCTGTCGTCTCGACTACGCCGCTAGTCTAGTTGCTGAGTCTGAGTCTGTCTGTCCTCCGTCCGTCGGGGGTGAGTGTGCTCTTGGCACGGACGTCCTTGAGGACATGCAGGAGGACTTTGAGTGTTTTGCAGCTGCTTTACCTCATCTCGTATCCATGCTGATTGCACCTGAGGGAGACCCAGATGCACCAGACATCCCGACCCCGCGCTCTTACACAGAGGCGATAGAGGGTCCCTACTCCTCTCAGTGGCAGACAGCCATAGACGCAGAGATGGCTTCCTGGAAGTCCACAGGCACCTACGTCGACGAGTTTCCCCCACCTGGGGCGAACATCGTCAGTGGCATGTGGATTTTCAGGGTGAAGCGGCCGCCAGGTTCTCCGCCTGTCTTCAAGGCGCGTTACGTTGCACGAGGCTTCAGTCAGCGACAGGGAGTTGACTTCTTCCAGACCTTCTCCCCTACCCCGAAGATGACCACTCTTCGGGTGCTACTGCACGTCGCCGCTCAGCGTGACTACGAGATTCACTCTCTTGACTTCAGCATTGCTTTCCTACAGGGCAGCCTGCACGAGGAGATCTGGCTGCGCCGCCCACCTGGCTTCACTGGGTCGTTTCCTGCAGGTACCCAGTGGAGCCTCCGGCGGCCAGTCTACGGTCTCCGCCAGGCGCCTCGTGTTATAGTCACAATAGCCTTGAATGTGCCTAAAACGAAAGATAGAGTGCACAGACGGATTTCTGCACAGCGGCTTCAAACGTTGATAGCGTTCTGCTCACAGCTGCAAATGACTTGATTCAAATTGGATCTGGAGCGTCTTGACGTCGCCTACAATAAGCAATTTAGATTGCACGATTTCATAAAGAATTGACGACACAGCGTTGGTTTGAACGAACGGTACTATGGCAGCCACTATAGTCTTAGAACACTAGATAGGAAGAGTTACGAGTTGGGAATGACTCCCAGCTCCTACAAACCCCAAGAGCCGAGGTACAGTGATGTGGAACAGTGCCACACTATCCCCAACCACGAAGGGTCTCGAAACTACCCTTCACTAGGGCCTACACCAAGTGAAATGTTACACTACACATGTTGCCGGCTAGCCGTTTGCTACTACTGCCGGTCAGTCTGGTTTCGCTGTCGTCGGGTCGTCTACTTTGGAATGAAGAATCGAACGCGGCTAGGGTCCTGACTGCTGCTGCTCGAAGCTCTGGTTAATTTACAAGGACGGCTACCGTAACAGGACGTGCTGTAGCGGCAGGAGAATAGGAGCGGATGCTTCGAGAAACGAGGATACTTTTGGCAATGCGGCGGCTGAAGAGGAAGCAAAAGCGAGGAAGCAACAGCCTGCGCCGCGGCGGCCGATGGCTGGACGGAGGAGCTCTGGAGCGTGACAGGTCGCCCTGCTGACAGCCTCTAGGCCCAGTGTGTTGGCGCGCAGGAGCTTGCAATTGGTCCTGACCTTCGCATGTGCTCCTAGGGGACAGAATGGTCTTGGAAAGCTTGTCTGTGCTCTTGAAGACTCGAGAGGATCATGACGTGATCGCCAGAGTGCGAAGTGGCGAGAGGCTCGAGTAGCGAGGAGTCTGACAAGAGGGAATGTAGGAGGCGGGAGAACTCGAAAGCTGGCTCGCAGAGTTGAGTTGGTAACCAGGTAGCATCAGCTCGTAACATTCCCACATACATAGTAACAGAAAACGGTTTTCTTGAAGGCCTTTTGACGTTTGAAATCAGTAATGAAGCCTACTGTTGTGCAGCCACATGAACGATTTATTAGAGTAACTAATAAAAGAATACAGTGTTTTCATCCGTAGAAGCGGTTGTAATTCAGCTGCTGCAGAAGGTCCCGTATGCTCGACGGCAGCTTCTCTGCTTGGTTGCGAGCCACCTGCATACCATGCGATCAGGAAACGTACACACGCGAGGAACCACTTTTGCAAATTCTCTGTAGTGATGTGTATGTTGTTGTGTGACGACGGTAGCACCTCTAATGGAATAAAAGGGAACAACATTGTTAGCCATGGCTAGAGATTAACCAAGGAGACAAGGTAGGTACGGTAGATGCACAGCTTTCTCAGGTAGCTACCTATTTGTGATAACCATGCCAATGTAACCAAGATCTCCAAATGACATCCACAGCACTGAAAGCCTTACATGCGCCAATGCAATGCCGCCTTGTTCTCCGAGCAATCTCACTTCGAAGGTTGAATGGCCGACACGCCAGCATGACCCACCTATGATGTCTGACATCAGCATGGCATACCTGCAGGATGGCTGACACGTCAGCATGGAAGAAATCTCCCAGCTGCTGAATCTCCGCATTGATTGCCGCCTCCTCCGCAGCCGCCCTGCCACTTCTCTCCTCCCTTGCTCCCCCCTTGCTGTTCTCCTCCCTTCCTCCCCCCCTGCTGCTGCTGGCCGCAGGCATGTATATGGGAGTGCTGCTGCTAGCTGTGTGTGTGCGCATTGGAGTGCTGCTGAAAGCACTAGGCATGGTGGCGAATGCGGTGGCGGAAGGGGTGGGTGATGGCATGGAGTGTGGGCGCTGCAGTGAGCGGCGGGAGTGGTAAAGCGCGCACAAGAGAAGGGTCTTGCTGGAGAGAGAAACTATCAGGCCCGTGATGGCCTTGCCCTGATGTGAGGGGCATAGTGGGTGGGGAGGGGGAAGGAAGATGTTCGGATGGGAGGGGAGTGGTAGAGTGCGCAGAAGAGAAGCGTCTTGCAGGACAGAGAGACTGTCAGGCCCGTGATGGCCTTGCCCTGGTGAGTGGTTGGGGTGGGGTGGGTGGTAGGAGGGGGAACGACGTGCATACAGGTGGGGTGGTGGGAGGGGAAGGACGGTGCGCAGAAGAGAAGGGTCTTGCTGGACAGAGAACCTATCAGGCCTGTGATGGCCCTGCCCTGATTCGAGGAGCATAGTGGGTGGGGAGGGGGAAGGAAGATGTGCGGATGGGAGGGGAGGGAAGACGTGCAGAAGAGAAGGGTCTAGCTGGACAGAGAAACTATCAGGCCCGTGATGGCCTTGCCCTGATGAATGGTTGGGGTGGATAGTTGGAGGGGTGAGGAAGATGTGAGGACAGCATGGGGTGGAGGGAGGGGAAAGAAGGTGAGCAGAACACACGCACGTTGCTCGACAGAGAGACTATCCAGCCAGTTATGGTTTGAAGCACATTGCCATGGAACACGGGAGGGGTGGATGGTTGCATGGGGAATGGAGACGTGGAGAAGAGAAGCTGAGACGACGTTTGAGAGGTCTGAACGGTGAGGCCAAGGGCGAGAAGAGAGGAGGAGGAGGATGCAGACTGCGAGGAATGCAGCAACTCAGTGCGAGTGAAAATTCCACCTTTTTAAAGCCCCTCTCCAGTCTAAGAGTAATTACAGTCAATTCAACTACAACTTCAAATGGCGCTTCAGTCCACCTCAAGTGCGAATGAGGATGCCACACAGTACTATGGCGTCGACTGATGGTGATGGCTTGCTACCTGCAATATTGTTAGATCCAAGTGATGCTGGGAGACTGTTGTCCTGTCAGAATCGATTGCCACAACATGTGGGTAGTTCATCCCCAGTTTGATTTAGCTGCTAAGTATGACTCGACTAAAAATCCGATTGCCACAGCGTATAGGTGGTTCATCCACAGCTTACCTGTTGAAGCGTCTTAACAGTTAACTCAAAAGCCACCCAGTTGATGCATGCGAAATACAAGCTTCTTGCCATAGCGGACCATAGGGTTTCGAGTTTTGAGTTTCTACAATGGTCGTAACCAGCACAGCGGATGATAGGGATAAGGAGGAGGAGAGCAACGGAAGTGCAGCAGGAGAGCTTATGACGTGGACTGACTGACCATGTTGGTGGAGTTAACGAGGAAGCATCCCTCAAGGATGGAGTGCAGGTAGTGGTGGTGTGCATGCACCACTGCTGCCACGGATGCTGCTCTGCCCATGGCCGCCTGTAGCTCGTGCCATGCTGCTGTCACTGCCTGGGAAGGGAGAGGAGAGGGAGGGGAATGTGAGGAACGGGAGACGGGACTTTGGAGTTGACTCAACACCCAACCCCGGATGCTGCTCTGCCCATGGCCGCCTGTAGCTCGTGCCATGCTGCTGTCACCGCCAGGGAGGAAAGGGGGACGGGAGTGTGATGAAAGGAGGGGAAGAGAATGTGATGAGGGGGAAGAGAGTGTGATGCGACTGAGTGAAGAATGGAGCACAGAAGAATGGGATGGCGGAGGGAGAAGTGAGTGGCTTCGAGATGGAAATTGAAGGATTGGGGAAGAGAGGGAGAGAGGGTGGTATGCAAGAAATGAGGAAGGAATGGATGGCATGCAAGGAATGCTGCATGTGCTGCATGTGATGAACGTGGTGCATGTGGTGCATGTGGTGCATGTGGTGCATGTGGTGCATGTGGTGCATGTGGTGCATGTGGTGCATGTGGTGCATGTGGTGCATGTGGCGTGTTGCATGCACTGTCCACGCACATTGGCCATGAGGAAGGAGTGGATGGCGTGCAGGGCGTGTTGCATCTGCTGCACCATCAGCAGCTCCCTCTGCGCCGCCATGGGCATGACACGGAAGCACCGCCGCTCCTGCCATGCAATGCCACAGGACACAGGGGGGAGGGGGCGATAAACAAAGGACAACTTTTGAGTCGAGTCAAAAGCCACCATGGGCATACCACGGAAGCACCGCAGGCGCCGCTCTTGCCATGCGATAGGGCACAGCACAGGGGCGTGGGAGTGCTTCCAGTGGCTTGGTGCATGAGAGAAAGGGGCGGGAGAGGTTGGATTGGAACGGCGCATGAGACCAAACAGTGGGAGAGGTTGGCGAGTGCAGGGCGAGTGCAGGGCGAGTGCAGGGCGACTGCAGGAGGCGGTTATGAAGCGGACACTAGTTGGCATATGATGCTTGCAACTGCATGATTACCCTACCCCTTCGCCTCTCCCGTGATTGTTGACAAAGAGGCACGCAGCTGAAAGTATCAGGTTTTACTTAAAGCCTTTGAATGAACCCCCCCGCTCTGCCACTGCCTCCCACGCATGCAGCATGTCCATTGCACAACACTCTCAATCCCGCCTTTATCCCCCCACCACTCAGATCAGATTTCCGGCAACCCCCCACGCATGAGCGCCCTGTCTCTCACCTGCAGCATGCGTGATTTGGTGGCGGTGAGAGCCGTCTTGGCGAGAGAGAGCTTGGAGAAGAAAGAGAAGAGCTGATGGGAGGAGAGGATGGGGGAGCAGCGAGAGCAGGAGAGGGGTGGAGGAGAGAAAGTGGGGTATGAGGGGAAAGAAGTCCGACAGAAGCCTTGGCAGAGTGGGTAAAGCTTGAGAAAGATAACGAAAGAGATGATGCAGGAGAGTGAGACATGCGCCATGAGGTGGTGTGGTGGCGGTCAAAGGCTGGGTATGTAAGGAAGAAGTCGAAGCTTTTAAGGGGGAGGAAGTTGAAGCTGAGTGCATGTGTAACCAGCTGCTGGCTAGTGGCAGCCAAGCCAAGCATAGTGTGTGCATAGCTCTCGTGCTTCTGTTGCATTCATGGGAGGATCCCTTTTACTGCATTCCTGGTTGCATGCATTCATCTGTTGCAAGCTGAGTGAGGGTCACTTCTGAGAGCTCGAACAGATGCTTACAGTCCACACACACACACACGCACCTGGTTTTGAGACGTCTCAGAATTCATCTGTTCCACGCTGAGTGAGGATCAGTTTTAATAGCTCCAACAGGTGCTTACAGTCCACACACACACCTGGTTGTACTTGGCGCATGCTGCAGGGCGCATGAGGAAGTCTAGAGGCCACTCCAGCTGCCAGGCGGGCAGGCAGGGGGGCGGAGGGAGGGAGGGAGGGTGGAGCGGATTGCATTAAGAAGCTTGAAAAGCCGTTCCAGTAAAGCTGGGGAAGGCTTTTGAGGCGCCTCAACAGTTGAGAAGCTTGAAAGGCCGTTCCAGTAAAGCTGGGGAAGGGTGAGTGAGAAAGTCGAGAAACGGACAAGGCAGGATGGATGGAAGGAGAGAAGTTGTGCATGAAGCCGTGTGCGTGAGAGAGTTGGCGGATGCCGTGCGTGTGCTGATGCTGATGATGAAGAATCAAACATCTGGTTGCTTGCACCCCATGCGCACAGCTGCATGAGAGAGGGTTCTTCATTGGTATGTCAGCGCTACCAGTGAAGAGAAAAACATCTGTTACTCTCTCATGTCAGCACAGCACTACCAGTGAAGAGAAAAGCTTGTGTTACTCTCTCATGTCAGCTCTGCCAATGAAGAGAAAACTCTCTAGTGAATGAAGGACATATGACAGACGGTAGAGGAACATACATACATCCAGTAAGGTTAAACACATACAATACAGCACAGACAGAGGACACACACACACGCACATGGCGAGAAGGTGACGGCACAGGTGGGATGGATGAAAGCACATGATTGCAAGTGCGCACCTGCTGCCACCCACTCTCTACTTTCCTGGAAGGCGGTAGAACCCACTTGTATAAAGCAATGACTCTCTCCTTTTAAAGCGTCTCAAAGGCAAACAACACAAGTTCCCTGAGCTGCCCCCCAGACAACAAGAAAAAGGCCAAACAAAACCTTAAAAAAAGAGGGGGTGGGGGGGTTGGGGGGGGGGGTGCGTAAGCAGTATCAATGAACCAGGCAGCCAGTGTGAGCCTAGCCTATAAGCACTAAAGAGTACAAGCACTAACCTCAGGCTTCATGTGGATTCTTTCCAGCAGCTCCATCATTGCTGTCACCCGAACCTGCATCGCCGAACCACCTCCGCTCCCCGAACCTCCAGGCCTGGGCATGGTTGTTGAGGCCTTGACACCTGACGCGCCACCAGCCCCGGCACGACCCATAGGTCCGGCAAGCAAAAAGGGTCCAGTAGGTCCGGCGAAAGGTTTGGATGACACCGAGGCTGGAGGTATGGCGTGGGGTACAGGTCCGGCATGGGCAGTGAACCTGGCGGGAGTTGCAGGTTCGGCCGTGCTAGTAGGTTGGGAGCCGAACGGCTTGGCATAGGCAGAAAGCGCGGCAGAAGGCGCGGCAGAAGGCGCGGCAGAAGGCGCGGCAACGGAAGTGGTGTAAGGAAGAAAGGAATTTGATGGTGTGGCAGGTGCTAGATCAATGGTTGGGGTGGTGGAGGGTGAGGGTGAGTGGAGGAGAGAGTGTGTGTTTGTGGAAGTGGGGGAGTTAGAGGGTTTGTTGTGTAGAGTGACAGTGATTGTATTGAAGGGTGGAGGAGAGGTGTGGCCATGTGCTGCTGTAGCGAGGAAACCCTGTAGGCAGCAAAGGGAGGGAGGAGGGGGGGAAGAGAGGGAGCAGGAGGAGCAGGTCGGAGGGAGGGTTGAAGGTGAGATGGGCGGAGGAAATAGAGAGGAGGTCGTGAGGGGGCGACTGGGATGGGTTGTGACGAGGCGAAGCCGTAGGTAGACGGAGGGAGGAAGGGAAGGAGGAAGAGAGAGAGGGACAGATGCTTTCGCATGGAGCAGGACATAAGGCTTGCTTCGAAGCAGAAGCTGCGAGAGAGAGAGCACGAGACGTTGGATGACGGAGGAAGGAGAACGAGATACGGCAGAACTCATGTAATTGCAGCCATCGCGGCTTCTTGGACAGGCTGGTGGGTCGACTGAAGCTCGTGGGCTTCCTGACAGAGGACCTGATGGTCGGCACGGCACGCACCACTCACAGCAGGTGAGCTTGCATCAATGCATGGGGGTCTGTCCGTGGGGGCGCGAGAGGGACGCGAGTCAAGGGGGGCTGGTGGGTCTACTGAACCATCCATTCATGTATGTACAGTCATGTTAATCACGTGTGCTCACACACCATCCATGCGCAACCATCACCCAAGCCATTCATCTCGTAAGGCACTCACGTCCGCGTATACACCATCCATGTGCATGATGGCTTGTCTACCTGCCTGCCACTCCTCATCACGCCACTCACGTCCATGAGTTGCTGCAGTGACTCGCTGCTGTGTGCCAGCAGCACGTTGCTGCGTTCCGTGTCCACCCAAAACACACCTACATTCACACCACTCACCCGCTCACGCCACTCACGCCACTCACGCCACTCATGTCACTCACATCCATGAGTTGCTGCAGGGATTCGGTGGTGTGTGCCGGCAGCAGCACGTTGGTGTGCATCTGCTTCCACAGCTCCCCCAGGAACACAGGCGCCACCGATACTGCGAGGGAGGGAGCACGTATGGGAAAGTGGAGAAGCAGTGCTGGTATAGCCCGACTCCTAACTGTTTGACGCCGCACTACTTGAGGCTTTGCTA